TATTAGAAAGTGTATGGATCGGCAATCTTGCTGTGGGTGAGAGTTTGGATCTGCGATTAGGTGGGGGGGGCTAGTGGTGGAGGCAGAAGGGCTCAAGTAAACGGGTAAGTGGAGTAATTAGAGGGTTGGGTGATTGAAATACCGGGGAAAGGGGTCGACAGGCAATTGGAAGGCTCGGCGGGTAACAGGAGCGCGAGGTACGAGAGGACTGGGGCTGCTGAAGGGATCAGACAGGGGGGGATCTGGGTGGGGGTCGGAGCAATGTCGGAGATGCGTAGAGACGGGGGGGGTAGAGGTAGGTGAAGGTCGACGGTGGGATGGGCTTGGGCTTGATATCAGAAAAGGGAGGGATGAGGGTCCGGATAGGGATCGGGATAGAGTAGATAATGTAATGTCGGGTTGGAGTCGGGATGGGAACGGGTCGAAAACGAGGTTAATTAGAATGGGATTGCATGGGATTCGGGAACAGAATGGGATCGTGGTGGAGAGAGGGTAGGGCCAGATGAAGAGCGATGAAGATGAAGAGCAAGGTGGGATAGGAGCAAAGCTCGGGATCTGGAGAGAATGGGGGGGACTGGGGGGACGGTGAGGGTTGGAGTGGGTTGGTTTCAAGTGGGTCGGGATCGATGTGGGGGTGGGTGGGGGTTAGGGAGAGTTGGGATAAAAGGGATCAAAAGGAATAAGGATCGGGTCGGATTAGCAGATGGGGATTGGGATCAGGTGGGAGTTGGGGAAAGACGGGATTAGTATCGGGATGGAGTTGAGGTAAGGTCGAGTATTGGTTGGGATGGGTTGGGATCGGGTTCAGGGGAAATCGTAGGGTGGAAGTAAGGAGGGTGGAAGTCGATGTAAATGGAATCGTGGCGGGTCGGGGTCGGGAGTGAGGTGGGGACGATCGGTAGTCAAGATGTATCGCGATCAACTAAGATCGGGTTCGGAGGAGCTGGAAGCGGGATTGGGTCGAATTCGGGATGGGCTGGGATCTTCGCGGTTCGGGATCGGGAAGGGGGGGGGGGTAAGGGTAGGTGGGAGATGAGATCGGTTGGGGTCGCGGAGGGTTGGGCCGATGGTGATATAGAAGAGGGTGAGGTACGAAGTGTGTGGGGAGAACGGGGTCGGTTGGGATTGGGTTCGGCAGGGAATGGAGTGAGATCGGTTATAGGATGGGTTGAGTTTGGGGAGAACCGGAATGGATCGGGATCGGGGGGGGAGTATGGGTGGATACAGATCGAAGTAGATTGGGGTCGCGGCGGGCTGGGGTCGATGGCAAGATAGGAATGGATGTGATTTGAGGAATGTCGAGGTTGGGTTGGGTCGGGTAAGGGTCGGGGTTGGTTGGGGTTGGGTTCGGTGGGGATGATGTGGGTGGGATCGGGTAAAAGTCGGGATGGGTTGGGATCGGGTTTGGGGAGAGACGAAATAGGTCGGTCGGGATCGGGGAGGGGGAGGAGAGGGTGCACGGGGATCGAGATGGAGTGGGATCGCAGGAGGTCGGGGTCGGGGGCGATATGAAAAAGGAGGGGAGTTGGGAGTTGGAGTGCATTGGGATCGGAAAGGGTTGATGTGGGGGGTGAGGTGAACACGGTCGTGAGGTGAGGAGGGTTGGGATCGGGGCGGGTCCGGATCGGGTGAGCGTTGAGGTGGGTTGAGATTGGGTTTGGGTAGGAGTCGAGGTTGATTGGGGTTGGGATCAGGAGGGGAGGGGATCGATATGGGTCGGGATCGGGATCGAGAAAGGGGTAGATTTAATCGATGGTGGGAGGGAACTTGGGATGGGGCGAAGATTGAGATAGGAGAGGACCGAGGCAGGACTGGGGTGGGATAGGAAGGGGGGGTAGGGTCGAACCAGGGTCGGGACGGGGTCGGGGTGGAGATTGAGTTGAGGTTGAGATGGAATCACTAATTAGATGTCAGACCGAGCGGTTGGCAAGGGGAATTAGTAACTGATTGTCGGAAGGAATAGTGGGGGGATAGATAGGGGGGGAGTTAGCGTGTAACTTCACTTGTAAGGAGTTCCGCTTGATGCTTGAAAGTCGGTGCCTTGGAGGAAGCAGCTTGATGAAGACGACCGCTTTGGAGACTTCCCTTGTCGATTTTGCCTTGACCCTTCTTCTCGTTAGATTTGCAGGTCCTTATGCGATGAAATCGTTCTTTCTTTATTAACACTTAATTCGCTCACTCTCTCTTCCCCTCTCTCTTCCTCTCTCTCTCTTACTCTCAGTCGTCTTTCTCTCTCCTTCTCTCTCCTTCGCTCTCTCTCTCACCTCTCTCTTTCTTCCTCTCTTTTTTTACCCTCACTCTCTCTTCCCTTTCACTTCACTATCTTTCTCCCCCTACCTCCTTTCATCCCTCTCTCCAGTTCCCCATTCTTTCCCTCATTCTTCCCCTCTCTCTCTCTTCCTTCCTCCCTTCTCCACCCTTTGCTTTCTCTCGCCGAAAGTTTCAGTCGGGATGTTGTTCTCCACTTTTGGTTATGCAATGGCTTTCTAGCGCGAATGCAGCAATGGCGGCTTCGCGCGATGGCGGAACCACGGATGGTAGTGTGGTGGCGACTTCACGGGTGGTGAGATGTCAGACTTGCGTCGCCCGGGTGGGGCGTGCTGGCGCAGTCGCGAATCCTCTCGTATTCTCTGAGGCAAAACTGGTTTGCATTGTCATTCTGCATAACATTTTTTTTTTCCAGATTTTTTTATTTTTATTTTTTAATGGTTCGGGCGTTTCCGGACATGCTTGGTCCGGACCGTCCAGAACCATGCATGTCCGGAGGTCCGGATGTGTCCGGAAGTCTGGACATCCAGACCTGATCGGACCTGCGTCCGGTCCCCGGACACGAGCTGCCCGGGTCCGGATCCAGCGTAGCCATGCAGCGAAGTAACCAACGACAATTTAGAAAGAGGAGTACTCACCTGGCCCGTCCTTGTTGTCCCGTCAGAAAATGACAGAGTAACAGCAAATGATGATAATGAGGTCCCATTTTTGGGACGAAATTGAAGATGATGTACAAAAGATCCATACAACGGATTGAGCATTGTTATACAGAGAACGTAATCAATGACTGTGACCAAATATAGTGACACAGAAATGGACGGGGTGATTGAGAACTGAAAATGCAAGGAAGATGAGCAATAGCGAACTTTAGCAATCAAACAGCATCATACACATAAGACCAGATAGTCGTGATCCAAAAGCTCATAATTGACAATGCTGGAATAGTCTCATCATCATCATCAACGAAGAACCAATGTTGATATCCTATCTGGCACTCGGCGCCCAGACTACAGATGGCAGATCCTATCTAGCCTAGACTACAATGCTGAAGATGACGACAACAGCTCTCCCGAAGTACGAGCAGATACCAATGCCGCACGCTTCCAGCACCAGGAATGTCTCTCGCATCACTCACAACCTCGTTCCCCAACACACAGATGCCACATGCACCCAAGGACCACCCTGCGCCACACCCAGCTCACAGCAACGCAGCTCGGCTATGGCTGCCTGCTCCTTCCAGCTCGCCCATGAGCGCGTGAGCACTGGCCAGCTTCAGCGCAGCATGCAGCCAGCACCCGAATGGCCAATGCGGAGGCAGACCCTTTACTATATGGAAGTGGCCTGTCTGCGTTCTGTCCCAGGCTGCGCTGGGCCTTTCCCAAGAAGCTTCCGGTAGGCCCCGGTAGGCTGAGGCCCAGTCGGAAACAAATCAGGCCCAGGGCCTGAGGTGGTTGCTTGCGCCCAACTGCCTTCGGCCTGTGTATGGCCCACATCCCGTATCCAGCCCAGAGCCTGCCTTCACTTAGGGCGGCCGACGTGCTGCTTGACAGGGCCTGAAAGGGGCTCATCGAGGTTGTGGCCTCGCATTCCCTCCTCCATAGCTTCAACAGTCCTCTGAGAAGCTCAGTCTTCAATCATCGGGCGCTTTCCCTTCTGCAGAGATTTCTCGTACTGGGCTACAACCTGAGGAGCGGTCTGCATGAGTTCCTCCCTGGTGAACCATCGATCTTCCTTTGGGTCAATATGATGCCGGAACCAAACGCGGTACTGCAGCTTCGGTGTCGGAGGACGTCCCCTGCCGGTCGGTCTTGGCACTGGCAGCTCCCTGTGATCCACAATGTCATCGATGTCCACCTCTCCGTCCATGGTTGGGGGCAGCATTGAGCGACGAGAGGGAAACTGATCTGTTTCCTCGAACGGTGCAAGCTTAGAAGCGTGAAAGACAGGATATGTGCGGAGATGACCAGGGATCCGGATTACGTAAGAAGGCCCGTCCGGATCCATCCCGACTATATCTAAGACCTCCCATGGCCCAAAGTATTGAGGCATGAGTTTGCGGGAGATCCCATGCTCCTGTCCCAATTCTGAGGACTTACACCAAACTCTGTCCCCAACCTGGAATGTAGATGGGCGGCAGTGTTTGTTTTCAGATTCTATCATTGCCGCCTGTGCCTTTTGCATTTGTTCTACTGCCTGCTGCATTTTCTGTTCGTAACGATAAACGAACTCTAAGGTACCCGGTGCARCAGTTGGCTGGTTCTCAGGAAGGAGAAAATATAAGGGCAGTCTAGGCTTGAAGGTCAGTAGTAAGCTGTTTGGGCTCACCCCGGTGGCGCTGTGTACAGCGTTATTGTACAGGCTGGAGATGAGAGCCAGCTTCTCATCCCAGTCCACCTGATTGGGCTTGATGTAATGCTGCAACAGGTGTTGTACAGCACAGTTCAGTTGCTCGGCTTGGCCATTGGCCTCTGGGTGATTCCCAGAGGTCATCTGCAACTGTGTTCCCTGTTCGGCAGCAGCGGCCTTCCACAACTCACTGGTGAATCGGACATCCCTGTTACTCACAATGGATTTAGGCAAACCAAAATCCCTGACCCAATTTTCCTTGAATAGTCTGATTACGTACTCGGTCTTTGCAGTCTCTGGCATGGCTATCAACCTAGCATACTTACTAAATCTATCCACGATGACGAAGATATGTCTCATCCCGCTCTTGCTGGTGACCAGCATATCCACCATGGACAAACTCTCACCGGGCCTTTCCGGAATCGGAAGGGGCTTCAGGAGCCCAAGAGGAACCGGAGTACGTGGCGTGTCCCTCTGACAGACCTGACAAGTCTCCACGTACAGCTGCGCATCTCGCATCATCGTGGGTCACCAGAACCGCTGCAGCAGATTGGCTGCTGTCTTTTTGTAGCCAAAATGGCCAGTGGCATCATGACACTCACCTAAAAATAAACTATGCAAAAACTCTCTATTTGGGACACACAATCGTTTATTCCCTGCCTTCTCAAGGAACAGCAAGCCGTTGACCAACTCAAACTCCACATAAGTCTTCTCATCCTTCGCCTCAAGTCTGCGTATGATCTCAGACATGAACCGATCCTCGCAATAGGCTTCCACCAAAGATCGAGTAACATCGTCCGTAAGATCGAACTCGGTAATCAGCGCACCTGAGAAATCACGTCTATGCGACAGCGCATCAGCAACCTTGTTGTACTCGCCCTTGATGTACTCGAGCTCGAAGTCATACTGCTCTATGACTTCAATCCAACGCTTCAGAGCGTCGGAGAGCACAGGTTGGGTTCTCATCCACTTCAGGGTCTGGTGATCAGTCCTGATGTAGAAGAACCTCCCAAGGAGATAGTGCCTCCAATGAGTGAGCGCCTAATAGATCGCATAGAGCTCCTTCTCATAGGTGGACTTAGCCAACTTCTGAGAGGGCATCTTTTTGGACATGTACTCTACCGGCCTCAACTTTTTCCCCTCCTGCTATGCAAGTACGACGCCTATGCCATATTGGCTAGCATCCGCAGTTACTATAAATGGCTTGTCGGGATCAGGAAGTTTCAAGACTTCATGATGCGTCAACGCATGCTTCAGATGTCTGAAAGCAGCCTCGCATCTGTCTGTCCACTCCCATGGGGTGTCAAGGCGAGTTAGGTCAGTCAAAGGGGCGGCAACTATGCTATAGTTCTTCACGAAATTGTGATAGTAGCCGGTCATCCCTAAGAAAGACCTCATCTCAGTCACAGACTGAGGACGCGGGCAGTCACAAATGCTGGCCACCTTCGTGTCATCGGGCTTTAATCCCTCCGCGGAAATCTCATGACCCAAGTACAAGACACGGGTGCGGCCAAACTCGCACTTCTCACCGTTGATCTTGAACTTGTGTTGTCGCAGAAGACTAAGGACTTTGTCCAAGTGCGCAACGTGCTCCTCGACAGTCTTACTAAAACTAAGTATGTCATCGAGGTACACGATGACAACTTATCCAAGTAATCATGAAATATTCGATTCATAGCGTGTTGAAAGGTGGCAGGAGCATTGCAAAGGCCGAAAGGCATCACCACAAACTCGTACAGACCGTACCTGGTCTGAAAAGCTGTTTTGTGTTGATCCTCGGGCCGGATTGCAATCTGATGATACCTAGACTTCAGATCTATCTTACTGAAGTACCGACACCCTTGCACTCTATCTAGCAAGTCATTGATGTGCGGTAGGGGCTCTCTGTTCTTGACAGTGATGGCATTGAGGCCCCTATAGTCAATGCACATCCTAAGTGTTCCTTCCTTCTTCTTGGGTACAAATAGGACTGGAGACCCATAAGGAGAAACACTCGGCCGGATCCAACCCTTTTCTACGAGTTTTCTTGAGTTGCCGGTGAAGCTCATCAAGCTCGCCTGGAGACATCCGATATATCCTACCCTTTGGAATGTTAGCCCCAGGGATAATCTCTATCGCGTGGACGACCTCCCTCTCAACAACCCCTGTCGGCTCTTCAAATAGATCAGGGTATTTAGCAACTACTCCCTCTATCTCCAGCAGCATTTTCACCGGCTCGCCTGCAGCAGAGACATAAACGAGATACATGCCCTCCTCCTGATTTTGCTTATAATAATTATAGAATGCGGACACACACATGCATCCATACGAATCGATAAGACTACTAGCTTTGAACTTACGTAATCTGGCGGTCCCTCCACCTGGCAAAGTGTGTTTGACCACTTTTCGGTCCCAGTCAAACTGGGGCTGTGCCACAGAGAGGTAGTACATACCTAACAAGATATCCATGGGGAGTTCATTGCTCACTAGGAACGAGACACGATGTCTCTGTTCCCCTCCCGCTTACGGGAAACAACACTCAACATCGTGGAGGTAGTCATTGGCTACCATGCGCTGTTTGTTGGCACAGGTCGACTACACAGGTCGACTAAGGTGCTGCACTTGCCCCTGTAAGCGCAGCCTCTCAACACACGGGCGACTAATAAAGTTCCTAGTCGAGCAAGTGTCATAATAGGCCTCGGCCTTGCGGCCGCCAATGACCACCTCGCTGACAAACATCTCACCCTTAGGGGCTTTGACCAATGCCGTCCAAGAAGCTAGCGGGTCTGTTCTAGACCACTCCTCCTCTAGCTCCTCTAAGGACTCAAACACATTCATCGAACAAAGGCTCGATGGGTCTGCACGTTTTTGCGGGACGACGCTGGATCCAGTAGCGTGGGCCATCTCTCGGGATGGTGAGGGTGTGTCCACCATCTCAACCCTAGCAGGAACAACTACTATTCCTACTGGCCCGACGTGTTTCCCGGAGCAGTGTCAGAGGTGCTAGCCACATTGCTGCCAACGGGAGTTGAGGATCCCAACGCCTCCCCCATCGTAGGCGGGATCTTCTCGATCACCTTCTTGTTTTGACACTTGAATTGGTTATGGCCATATTCGCCACAATGGATACAAGTCTGTCGTGTGTACCGATCTCTCCACACGTCCTCAGTGAGACCCGCTTTCTCCCATGGAGGAGCATTGGGGTCAACTTGACTCCTCGACCGGGAACCTCCACGACGTCTGCCGGTTGCCTTACCTTTCTGTGCTACGGCAACGACTACTCCACCCCCTGAAGCCTCTACGCTGCCAGCCTCTGAACCTACTCCCGCCTGGAACTCGTCGTCCAACTCGATGGTAGAACCATCGTTGTCCACGAACATGATGCGGCCCTTCGCTTTCCGGTTGGGAGGCAGTGACTTCTTCCCACCATCCGTCGTGGGATTATGTCCATGCCTATCTTTGCCTCAAGGTCTAGGGCCTTCTTGCTAAACGAGGGAAAGTTGTGCATATTGATGTTGGCCTCACCTGCCAACTGATTCCTAAGAGGCATGGGAAAGCATCTCAGGTAGGAGGTGGGTAAGACCTGGGGGTCATAGCGCAACCCAGGGACACATATCAGACGCTCTACAGCGTCAGTGGCCTCTCTTACTTACTTAAACTGCCTAGTGTGCAGTGTCAGGATTGCGCCAGTGGCCTTTTGGGCCTCCCGAGGATCGTGCCACCTGTCTTCCACCAACTTGAGAAAGTCATCCAATTTCTGGGTGACCGCCCAAGCATGAAAGTCATGATCGTACCCATGTAGCTGCACTAAACCACTCAACCATCGTGCTGCACTCCCCTCTTAATAGGAGGCAGCCACAAGCACTTCCTCGTGCGGCAAGGTAAGTTTGCACTTGACATAGACCGGCACTGCCCTCAACCAAGTGCCGAGGTCTTCGCCCCTCTTATCCCCTGTAAAGGGTTTCGGGGCGGCGATGGCCGTCTTCGGTACCCACTGACTTTGTCCCGGTCCCTGCATCACTCTGGGTTGTGGACCCTGTGATACAGGCTGCTGCACTGACTGCAGGGGCTGTGTACCCTGCGGCTGTACAGGCTGCGAGACAGCAGGCTGCACGTTTACGGCAACCTGTGACGGAGATTGGGTGAACACTGTCTGTACAAGAACATGTAAACTAGGACCTGATGAGAACCCTCCTGTTAACGACATACCCAGGGAGACAGGCTGAACCGATACAGGAGCGGTATATGGGGATACCCCAGTCACTGGTGGAACAAAAGGCGGAGGATGTTCAACGGGCCAGGCACCAGGCCCGGACAGTGATGGTGCCGCCTGCTCTCGTCCGACCAAGACGGCCAGACTCTGTTGGATGTCCTGTAAAATTGTCGTCTGCTGGTCTTGCATCTCTACTACTCCTAACAAGACCGACCTCAGGGCCCTCACCGGATCATCCAGCTCTGCTGGGTCCATCTCCTCTAACTCACTAATGTCCGCTTGTCGCCGCTGCAACCTGGCTCTTCTTCTAATCATTCTTTCATTTTTTGCCTTAATCTCTCCTAAAGCCTTCTGTAGTTGTGCCTCTTGCAGGGCAGCCTGTTGTATGGCGATCTCCTCGGGTGATAACACCACTGGCTGGCTTGCCATAACTCCAGCCTGTTTGTGCAACCGTTGACCCTACAAACCCTGAACTGCTGGTTAGGGAACTCTGCTGCGCAGCAGTTGCCATGGTTGCTGAAACAGCGACTTCGTTTGCGAATGCTCTGCTGGTCTCTGGTGCCCTAGCCCTCCGCTGCTGCTGCTGCCTCTCCCTAAGCTGGCGGAACAGATATTTGTCTCACTCCGGTCCTAAGGCCAAGTGGGCTATCGGGCGTCTAGCCGATCGCAAGATCCGGTCGTCCTCACTAGTGGTGTCCCTATCGCTCATATGCTACAACTGCACACCGTCTACACTAGGACACACAATGGATGCCTATTGCAGCGACATGTATAAACCGATATAAATAATCGACAACTATATTAGAGACTAAACATTCGAGTCCAGCAGGTAAGTTCAGATTCCTACAAATAATATTATTCTACTTCGACTAGCTCGCAAACAGAAAGCACAATGAACAAATCAGTTCTAAACTATGTTGTTTGTCAGATGTCAATGGCAGTACATCTAACTAATCAAAATAAAAATAACATCATTTGTTGGGTCTGTTTGCAGGATCGGATCTTACTCAACTTATCACCTGGAATCTACCCCTTCCCCAATTCCCCTTGATGACAACTTGACGTCAGCGTCCCTGAGCAATCCGGTTTGGCGTGCACACGGCCCACCCTTGTGCCCCGAGTAGCTGCTGAGCTGGCCAGCCCTGCACAGTGTTTATCCTCGCGTGCAGTGAGCCTTACTTCAATTGTCTGATCCAGAGGCAATTTAATGACCGCCCCCAAGTGTCATCAGGAATTATTTTACGTCTCAGCAGGACGACGATCACAGCCAATGGTTTCCCCAGCCGGTGTTTATTTATAGACGCCCGGTACTCGTCTCTCCCATAGGGCTGGCCGGCCCTTCAGTACCCCTTCTATGAGCGCAGCAAGCAGACAAGGACAAAGCGGCAAAGCATGCGTGCTCTACTCCCGGTGGGTTGGCATGGTGACCGTGACCCAGTGCTCCGTCCAGGCCCCTTCAGAAAGCACCACCCTCTCCTTCCAAATGCTCCACGTGAACAATGTCGACTCTCAAGGTTGAGCGCACACGAGAGGACTCTCAAGAAGGAACTCAAAACCTCACGGTAAGAAGTGATGAAGAGGGTAGATAAGGTTAAGAGCAACGTACCTCGATATAGCTACCCCCAACCACATATATTTTCACCAGATGACCTGGCGATTGCGATGACCAGTCACTGCATCGACACAACCAGCATTATCTCGTCGTTCCACCTCAGCATCAATCAACCACCAGATAGTTCGCATCACACTGCGAACACCCCATATACACACCGTAGCCTTCCTGGCGATTCCCCTCTCCTCCTGGGTCGCCACACCTTGTCTCCGCCCTCCTCACTACACACTGCCCACGGCCTCACTCACCAAGCAGACCGCATGTATGTACCGCATAGGCAGAAGATAAGCGCCAAATGAGCGCAACGTACCACAGCTCCGATACCAAATTGCAAGGAAGATGAGCAATAGCGAACTTCAGCAATCAAACAGCATCATACACATAAGACCAGATAGTCGTGACCTCGTACCAAGAGCAGAATTGCATCACGAGTTTCACCAAATAAGAGTACACCAAAAGCTCATAATTGACAATGCTGGAATAGTCTCATCATCATCATCAATGAAGAACCAATGTTGATATCCTATCTGGCGCTCGGCGCCCAGACTACAGATGGCAGATCCTATCTAGCCTAGACTACAATGCCGAAGATGACGATAACAGCTCTCCCGAAGTACGAGCAGATAGCGGCCAATGCCGCACGCTTCCAGCACCAGGAATGTCTCTCGCATCACTCACAACCCCGTTCCCCAACACACAGATGCCACATGCACCCAAGGACCACCCTGCGCCACACCCAGCTCACAGCAGCGCAGCTCGGCTATGGCTGCCTGCTCCTTCCAGCTCGCCCGTGAGCGCGTGAGCACTGGCCAGCTTCAGCGCAGCAGCGCTTGCGCAGCATGCAGCCAGCACCCGAATGCCCAATGCAGAGGCAGGCCCTTTACTATATGGAAGTGGCCTGCCTGCGTTCTGTCCCAGGCTGCGCTGGGCCTTTCCCAAGAAGCTTCCGGTAGGCCCCGGTAGGCTGAGGCCCAGTCCGAAACAAATCAGGCCCAGGGCCTGAGGTGGTTGCTTGTGCCCAACTGCCTTTGGCCTGTGTATGGCCCACATCCCGTATCCAGCCCAGAGCCTGCCTTCACTTAGGGCGGCCAACGTGCTGGTTGACAGGGCCTGAAAGGGGCTCATAATACTAATACCCAAGTAATTAATTATTAATAATTTGTTGCTTTTTAAAGTCTTTTTTAATTTGTTTTTTAGTTTTTGACTTTTAACTCAAGTTTGCTTAGGAATTCTGACATGACTCTGAGGCAAAACTGGTTTGCATTGTCATTCTGCATAACATAATTTTTTTTCAGATTTTTTTATTTTTATTTTTTTAATGGTCCGGACGTTTCCGGACATGCTTACTGGTCCGGACCGTCCAGAACCATGCATGTCCGGAGGTCCGGATGTGTCCGGAAGTCCGGACATCCAGACCTGACCGGACCTGCGTCCGGTCCCCGGACACGAGCTTCCCGGGTCCGGGTCCGGTGTAGCCATGCAGCGAAGTAGCCAACGGCAATTTAGAAAGAGGAGTACTCACCTGACCCGTCCTTGTTGTCCCGTCAGAAAATGACAGAGTGACAGCAAATGATGATAATGAGGTCCCATTTCTGGGACGAAATTGAAGTTGATGTACAAAAGATCCATACAACGGATTGAGCATTGTTATACAGAGAACGTAATCAATGACTATGACCAAGCACAGTGACACAGAAATGGACGGGGTGATTGAGAACTGAAAATGAAACAGCTGCAGTAAAGGACAGAGAATGGGAATGACAAAACAAAGATAAAAAGAACATGCAGAATTTGAAGTAGAGATAGTTAGGCATGCGTGGAAATTTTGGAAGGGGACTCTCAACTGCTTCATGATCATTCTTGGCCGTGGTAGTGATGTATTAAGAGCAAATCGTAACGATGAGCTCTTTTTTTTTCCCCTGTAAGTTGCGCAATCAGACTCCTCGTCTTCGATCTTCAGCATGTGTACAAACAGATGACAATCAAGCTGGCGACTAGCGCCCACACAAAGGTCAGAGATAATGAACCCAAGGACACGACTCAGATTCGAACTTGTCCTGGTCGACTATGGGCGACATGCACACTCTCATCAGCTTGTTCGTAAACACTCACCGGATCTCCCTGGATGTTCCGATGCATACACACACACACACACACACAGATAACACCTCTCCTGCTGACGTGGCGTCTATGGCCGCCATCTTCCTCCTACACTAACACCTATCGGCTATGGCTGATCTCCCTCCTCTTAGCCCTCTTCGTCTTACGGGCACCTGCTGACCACCTTGCACAAGACGCTCAGGCAGCGCTTCCGCATGGCTCACAGTCAGAATGAATAAATGACTTGAGGCTGCCTCTTGATTTATACTTCGGATTGTCAATGGTCTGCCCTTGGACCCTGGGACCGAGGTGCACACAGTCCCACATGGTACTTGCTGACTTGACAAAGTGCGACCGGGACTGGGTACCACTGACTAAGCGAGGTTGGACTGCCTACTTGCCCACTTGCCCCTAGACTAACTCTTAGGACCTTACGAAAGGTCGCTTCCGGACCTTCCGGAAGCCTTTAGACTTGACCTCTCGCGATTGTAGCAGCTAAGACTTTGACCTTTCAGGACTGTTGCAGCTACGACCCCTACTCGGTAAGGACTCCTACTCGATAGACCTACGCATCGAAACTGGATGACCAGACTATCTACAACAAACGAACAGGCGACTTTCAAAACACAGGTCGCGGGTACAAATACACACAGGGCACTGATACTGTACACGGGTAAGGGCGAGGTCTACAGCATCTGCTACCGTAAAGGTGAAAACCGTTTCACTTCCGCCAGCCTAAATTTGAGGTCCTCCGAGAATATTTCAATCTTCAGCAGGACTTTTACCTTTCTGAGGCACGGACTACGTCGGGAGCAGTCTCTAGAAGTTCTGTTCGTGTAAACCAGCGGTCGTCTTTCGGCCCCTGGTAAGAAAACCTGACTTTGTATTGTTTTTGTGGACGACCTCATCTTCATCTACTATGCGATCAATGTCGTACCTTCAATCCATATCTGGAGGGATCATTGATCTCCTCGACGGAAATTGCTGACTCATTGTGCAAGGTAACAACTTTGATGCATGGAAAACTGGATATGTATGGAGGTGTGCCGGGATCTCTATCGTGTAGGATGGTCCATCCTCTCCGCCCTTGACTTCTATGACTGGCCACAGTCCTCTATATGTGGGTAGCAGTTTCTGTGAGATGTTCTCCTCAGGAGCGAACTCTTTGGACTTGACCCAAACTAAGTCGCCTACTTGAAACTGTGATGGGCGGCAGTGCTTATTAACTTGCTCTATCATCCTATGTTGGGCCTTCCTGAGGTTCTCTATCACTGTTGCGATCTCTTTATCATGCTGTAACGCAAACTCCCTAGTACCGTGCGGTAGCCTCTGAATCTCGCCCCGGTTCAGTCCTTCGAACGGTCTGCGAGGTCTAAAGGACTTACACGATTCGTTAGGAGTGCGACAAGTGGCTAAGTGAACACTGTTGTTATACGCGCTGGCTATCTTTGGGATCATCTCGTCCCAGTTGACTTGATCGGGTCTAATGTACATTCTCAAAACTTGTTACAGGATCTTGTTCATCTGTTCAGTCTGACCGTTTCTCTGGATGACGGCCAGATGACATTAGCAACTTAGAACCATACACCTTCATAGGTTCCTGCCAGTTCTTACTAGTGAAACTGGTATCTCTGTCACTAACTATGGACAGCGCTAGACCATGCTCACTGACCCAATGATCAAAGAACTTCACTGTTACTAGATCTGTATGTGCCTCGGAAGGCAAGGGAATGAAAACTGCGTATTCGCTAAATCTATCGACTACAACCATAACTTGGCTCTTGCCATGCCTACTCCTGACCCCAACGTCCATGAAATCTATGGACGTAGAATCTCCAGGTCCTGATGGGATAGGCAGGGGTATGAGAAGACCCAACGGGGCTCGCGTCGTAGTTTTATTGAGTTGGCATTCCTTGCAACTATGCACATACTCTATACAGTCAGCTTTCATGCCATGCAAAGTCTATCCACACATGAGGTTGGCTAATGTCTTTTGTCAGCCGAGGTGCCCTTGGTACCATGACATTCCCCTAAGATTAGACCACGAATCTCTTCGTTGTTGGGAATGCATAGGCGATCTACGACGTCTGTCTTCTTAAACAACAACCCGTTAGTGGTGCGGTAGTTAGGCTCGTTGGATTCTCCTAGACTCTTTTGAGGAGATCGCTATAAATAGGGTCCTGCGGGTACGCATCTGCAACTTTTTGCTGTAAATCTGACCCTATATCCAGGTAGTGAACTATGGCTCCAAAGTAGTCGGCTCTTCTACTAAGGGCGTCTGCAACCACATTGTACTTTCCTTGGACTGGCTTGAGCTCAAAGTCAGACTGGTCTATTTCTGCGGCCCACCTAGTACGCTTAGGTGTCATCTTGGCCTGCATCTTCAACCACCTCAACGTTTCGTGGTCTGAGCAGACTTTGCAGTGTCTCCAAGCAAGTAATGTCTCCAATGGTCTAATGCTTGCCTAAGAGCGTAGAGTTCCCTTTCATAGGTAGATGTCGCAACCTTCTCCAAAGGCATCCTAGCGGACCTGAACTCTACGGGTCTATACCCATTGTCGTCGTTCTGCTGTAAAACGGCATCAATTCCATATTGACTCGCATCAGTTGTAACAACAAAGGATAAGGATGGGTCAGCTACCTTGAGGACTGGGTACTCTATCAAGGCCCACTTCAACTTCTTCACGGTCAACGTACAATCTTGGTCCCACTTCCAGATTGCCTCTTTCTTTGGCAGTCTGTGAAAGGGAGCAACGATTGCAGAGAAGTTCCTTACGAAATTCATGTAATAGCTAGCCAATCCTAAGAACGATTGCAGCTCTGTGAGTGTACGTGGGGTTGGCCAGTTTCTGATTGCTGCGATCTTACTGTCCTCATGCTTTACGCCATCACCATCTAAAATGTGGCCCAAACACAAAATCTTTGTCTTGGCCCACTCGCACTATTTTGCATTGATCTTGAAATTTGCTTCACGCAAATTTTCCAAGATTTGCCTCAGATGAGCCTCGTGCTCCTGGAGGGTCTTGCTAAAAATTAAATTGTCATCTAGATAAACAACAACAAATCTATCTAACCACAGACTAAACAAATCATTCATGCAGCGTTGGAATGTGGTCGGTGCGTTGGTTAGTCCAAATGGCATTACTATAAACTTGTAGTGCCCGTACCAAGTCCTGAACGCCGTTTTGTACTGGTCCTCCGGGTGGACCTCTATCTGGTGGTACCCTGACTTCAAATCTATCTTAGAGAAGTACTTGCAGCCCTGCACCCGATCCAATAGATCATCTATACGAGACAGTGGTTCTGCATTCTTCACATTCCGAGCTCTCCCTCTTTCTTGGGGACAAAGAGAACAGGTGCTCCAAATGAAGATGAACAAGGCCTAATCCACCCCTTCTCGAGGAGCTCATCTAACTGTCTGCGCAGCTCCTCCAACTCCTTGAGAGACATCCGATGCACTGCTCCCATGGGAGTCTTACTACCAGGCTCTATCTCAACGTGCTGCTGGATGGGACGCGGAACTACTACTGAAGGAGACTCTGACAGATCTGCGTATTCTTCCAGCAGCTTGGCAATAACAGGGTTGGTGGGCTCCTCCTTCTTAGACTCAGTAACAAGCCTAACATAGGCTATAAAAACCTGCTCTTCTAACTGCTCCTTTACTAGTCGTGCGAACGCGGGAGCACTGAGACAGCAATGTGCCAGCGGGTTATCTACTCCTAACACATGAAACAGGCGAGTCGTACTGACGTCGTCTGAAGGACTAGGGAGCCTACACTCATGCTCTCTTAAGTGTAGTGTGGCTCCTGCTGCCTCCCCCCAGTCCATCCCTAGGACCATATCAAATGGGAGGTTGTCCTCTACGAGGACAGTCAGGGAATGGAGAACTCTCTCAACCTTCCCATCTTTCTCTAGGCGAAAGTTCGACTGGACTCCCTCGACGTAATCCTCGATTCGCATAGTGCGATTGTCTACGAGGATACTGACTATAGGTTCTTCTAGCTTCTGGACTTTCAGACTCAGCTTCAGCTATTGCAGCACTTTCCTGCTGATATACTTACGTGTGGCCCCACTATCTATTAGGGCCCCTACTCGGCCTCTAAAGACCTCTACATCTACTAATAGTAGTTGTCCTTTTCCATCCTTCTTCATCTTGGCCCAGACTGGCATCCTCTCCTTTACCTCTTCTGCCAGTCCTGTGAGGGAAGCACCTAGAGAGACTCTGACACAAGCAATCTCTGGACAGCTAGCTAGGCGCTGGCCAGCAACCTCTGCCATAGGCTCATGTCGGTTGGGAGTTTCTATATGGCGCGCGCTCTCTTCTCCACATGGCCTAGGGGTAAGGGCAGTTGAGACCCCTACCGGCGACTGCCTTTTGCTGCCTCTGCAGCGGATCGTCGGGCATTCCTATACTTGGGGCATTATTTGATGATGCACCCCGGGTCACCGCAATAAATGCATTGACCCGCATCTATCCTTTTCTGCCATACCGTCTGATCCAAGCCCAACCATTCCTAGGGTTCGCCTTGAGGCAGACCAGGGTGTCATTCACCCTTCCTATTAGGTGATCGATTGCCACGAGGACGGTTTTGCGGGGGACCTTGACCCCTTCCTCCCTCTTGGTAGTTACCTCTACCACCAACCCCCTAGCCGCCCTGTCCTCGACCACCAGAGGCCTGGCCCCTTCCTCTACCTTGGGCCTCCCTCCGTTAGCAACAGCAGCATAAGTAATCCCCTGGCTCACGCCACTAACCTCCTCTTCCAGGCCCCACTCTATCTGGCTATAGGGGACCTCTTCCATACCACCTTCGTCTAATGTGAGGATCAAATGATCCTTGGCCCTGACTTGGCCAGAGGTGGTACGACCCTTCCACTTTTTGCCTTTGTCCAAGTCCTTGTGCTAGAAAGTGGAAACTGGCATGAAATGTGCCTCAAAAGCCACAACATCCTGTCTACTCTTCTCGTAAAAGTGCCCGTGAAACTCTCGGGCATGGCACATACGAATAGCTGAACCAATTGGGCCTCGGTAACCCTATGGTCAGGGACAACGACTAACTCATCGATCACACCCTTGAGTGCCCTGACACTCTTCCACTGTCGTGAGTGAATACTTTGCAGCTTGTCAAAGGCCTTGAGCCCTTTAGTGACATTTGCAAACCGATCTCTAAGGGCTTTCAAAATTTGCTTAAGGGCGTGGTAGCAGAGTAGACGACAATATCATTGTCACATCAGGCGACGCGGGCTAATGACCTGGCAAAACTAAAGGCCTCATCTCTGAGAGTGTGGAAGGTTACGAGGCCTTGCTCCTTGGGGATGATATCTTGGATGTGCACATAAGAATTTATGTTAGCCTCCCAGTTACCGAAGTTCTCTCCCTTTTTCCCACTGTAGGGATCAGGGAACTTCACCTTAACACGCTCTCTACGAGGGCGTGCTTCCTCCTCCTTTGGGGGCGTTGCCTTGGCAGCTTCTATAGCGTCTGTGCAAAACTTCTCCGTGTTGTCTAAGCGTGCCTGCACTTCTCCGCCCACATGCAACATCATATCTCGTGCAAAGTCTTAAATCCTAAGCGTATGGACTGCAGGGGGATATCGTGGGCCCTCTGATGGCGGAATTGCTCTTGTTGTACCCTCAACAATACCTCTACGTTTTGAGACAGGGGCCCAACTTGGGTCTTGAGATCAGTGGTTTCCTTTAACTTTCCTCCCCTCCCTGCAGCCTCATTCAGTCTTTTTTCCATTTCATCCGCCGCCTCCATTCACAGTCTCCTTTCCCCGGTGAGGCGCAACTTCCACTCTAGCTTCTCCTCCTCCATATTTTGTCGGTGCACGGGACTAGTCTCCGTCTGAATCTCCTTCACCGCTGCCTTCCTCTCGGCTTGGGGAACATATAGCATTGCCTCCTCTTCTTCCCCCAGCGACAGGTTTGCCACCCACTCAGTCACCATTTTCTCCAGCCTTGTGTCTATTGGATTCATGCCACTCGATTCCCCTCTTTCCTCCCTCTTCACATTTCTTTCCAGGGAAATCTCTTCTTCTTCTTCTTCTTCATCAACTGAGGCTGCAACTTCTTCCTTCTCCTTCTGCAGCCCCCTCAACTCCTCCAACTCGTTTTCCTTTTTTGCTTTCTCTTCCAAGGGTGCCAACTTCTTCGCCTTCTTCTGCAACTCCTTTTTTTCTCTCTTGGCCTTCTGCTCGGCCAATATCCCCGCGGCCTCCTGCTCCTGCTCCTTTGTATAAGGAGTGGTCCCTGTACCACCCCTTGTCTCAACTCTACATGTGGATGTGCGCCAGAAGCCTAGTGGGAACAGGAGACGCCAAAGGGTCCCCCACAGGGAGAACCCCACGAGCAAGCCGTACATCGGGTAGTCATCCATGGTGACTGTGCACAACAAGTGATTGTTCCACTCCTCACCACTTAGACCTACCCACAGACTGAGTGACTGACTCTCTGAGGACTAAAGAATCCTTTTGGGATCCTGTCAACTATGGTCTCTAGGCTAGACCTAGTAGTAAGGTTGTCACTACAGGACTGCAGTCCTGATCAGGAGACATTTAACAAGATCCCCCGTAACTCCTCATAAATTATTTAACGTCGTAAACAGGACGATGTGATCAGCACAGTCCTCTCAACACTTAGACAGCTGGTTGTGCAGCCCACAACTCAGATTTTGGGCCAACCGTGCCACACTAAGCAGCTCGTCGGTCTATACCGGTCCTTGGGAGGGTTAGGCCTCCGGGACGTGTCAGTCATCAGGCATGGACAGCAGCCCTACTCAGCCCGTGTGGGTTTGGTCAACGCAGCTCTATGACCACATACACGGAGTCCTATCACCTGGACAGAAGTGACTTAATGCAGAAAGAGACAGACAGACTCAGCAAGTACCATGGAGTGAGTGCACATCCATAGGGGCAGGGGATAGGTTGAAGGCTTAGCGAGATTATACCAACTCCAACTTGGTAAACTCGTGGTCAACAACTCCGGTCAACGCTGGTCAACGATCACTCAAATCCGGTCAGCGCCTTGGTCAAACTTGGTCAATGTTGCTGGTCAACTTGATCAACTTCTGGTCAAACGTCGCCGGTCAACTCTCTTGACCCCGGGTATGGCTGCCAACTTTCTCCTTCTTCGCCAATGTCTTCTCTCTCCTCCCCGGTTCTCTTTTCTTCTTGCCCCTCCTTGGCTATGGCTTCTTTCTCCCCCTTCGTCTCTCCTTCCTTCTTACTTCCTCTCTCCCTTTCTTCGTCACTTCGTCTTCCCACACATCCTCAACTCGAGCTCGACGGTTATGGTCGCCGCCTTTCTTCTTCACTTGTTGCACAACAATCTTCTATCGCTCAGTCTCTCTCTCTCTCTCTCTCTCTCTCTCTCTCTCTCTCTCTCTCTCTCTCTCACGACAGCTATGGCTGCTCCGCTTCTTCAATCGGGCGCAATCACCTTCTTCCCGACGTTGCTCTCCTTCGCGCCCACTACCTTCAGCACGGGGCAACGACACGGTGGCTTCCAGTCCGCAGCGGGCAACTTCGGCTCCCGACGCGCATTCGACAACACTCGGCAGTGGGCACACACGCGGGACAAGTGGCGGACACAACGATGCGCAAGCAACATGCGCGCTAGTGCTCAACCGGACGGGGCGCACAACGACCGCGGCGCGCGCAGCGAGAAAGCGCGGGAAAACTTTGTGCGCGATTGGGCGACAACAGGCACACATCAGACAACGAGACTGCGCGCAACCTTGCGCAGCGGCAACAGCGGGAACACACATTACGAAGGTTCGCGAAGTAGTGGGTAGTGGGCGGTGTGGAGCGGCGGCAGCAACGAGCAGCTTAGCGCGCGATTCCGACTAGCGAGCAATAGCGATAGCGGGCAGGCATGACATGGCGCATAACGTAGCGCCTCCCTCCTTGCTGACGTGGCCCTCAATGGCGCCCCTTCTCGCTCAACCACTCCAATGATAGCGCCACTGACGTGGCGCTTAGGTGGCGCCTTCCCAACTTCCGACGAAAACGATGATCACGCCGATGATGATAACGATGATGGCGACAAAGTGGCGGAAGGAGACAGCGGGATTCAGCTCTGATACCAATGCAATCAGACTCCTCGTCTTCGATCTTCAGCATGCGTACAAACAGATGACAATCAAGCTGGCGACTAGCGGCCACACAAAGCTCATACATAATGAACCCAAGGACACGGCTCAAATTTGAACTTGTCCTGGTCGGCTGTTACATGGCCCGTTGGGCGATGTACATAATAACCAAGGATCCGCAATATGATGAAAAGAACTGAATGGACAATGTAGTGCAAGTGAAATCTCAACGAGCAGTGTACACTCTGAATCATACAAAATGGTGCTTTACAGCACAGCGGAAGACTTAGATACAAGTCCTGACCTGACCAGGACTGACCTCTTTCACGTAGTACAAGATAGCGAAGTAGAAGGCTAGAATACTAATGACGAGCCCAATCAATGTCGCAATGCAGACTAAACATACATCATTCTCACCACAAGGTGTGAAGGGGGCCTGGCGCTATGCACAGGAAGAGGCGCCAGGTCCAGCCATGCACATACGAAGAGGAGGGGAGAGATGGGAAAGTCGTCAACACCAAGTCTCGTTACAAGTCCCAAATAATCCCTCGTCAAAATGTCTGAAGTCCAATGTCGAGTCTGGATCCAAATGTCACCAAGCTCTCTCTCTCTCTCTCTCTCTCTCTCTCTCTCTCATAGTTTGCTGATGCAGTGAAGTCAGATATCGAGAGGGTGAGAGGGAGATGGTGGACTGAGAAGAGGAAGAAGAAGAACTCTCTCTCTCTCTCATATGCCAGGTACTAACCTGTGAAGGTGGCGCTGTGCTACAGGTACCTTGAAGATGAAGCTGGAGCGATGGCGCTGCAGGTAAGTCCCTCTGGCCTCCGCCCAATCTCTCTCCCTATAGTACTACTCTAGCTATGGCACCCAACGCTGAAGACTACACCTAACGCTACTAGCGCCCAACGCTGAAGACTACTGCTAACGCTACTACTACTCCTGCAGCGCTCCCTCCAGAGTGCTGCTGCCGAATCCTGAAGACAACCTCCTGCCTCCTGAACTGCACGTGAAGTGCCTGGGAAGTACCTAGGAACTACCTGCAGCCTGCAAGGCGGGCCAGTCTTATATAGTGCTGGCCCGTCCAGGAGGCTGCTCTTGCCAATGCCAAAACGTGCCAGACCCTGGGGTTGAAGCTCAAACGAAGGTTGTCTTGAAAATAGGCCAAAAATGGCCTGAGCTAAAACCCTGGTCTGNCAAACGAAGGTTGTCTTGAAAATAGGCCAAAAATGGCCTGAGCTAAAACCCTGGTCTGGTGCCTGAGTTTCAGGGCAGGTCGATCTTATGAGGGCTTGAAAATGGCCCTCAGTTTCAGGCTGAAAAGACTCAGGGGCGGAAAGGCCCTGATTTAGGCTGAAACGACACAAGGCCTGTAGGCCCTTGTTTTCAGGCTTTCAGGCTGAAACGACACAGGGCCTGTAGGCCCTTGTTTTCAGGCTTTTGGGCTGAAAACGACACGGGCCTGAAAATGGCCCGAGCAGCCTGTTGCAGGCGCAGCATGTAGCACCCCCCCCTCCTTATGAAGTCAACCTGGGTAGAGGGCGAAGCTGACGAATCTGAAGGTGGAACCTGGACGTGGGCACTGCGTGGAGCCAAAGATACCGGCTTGCCTTGGATCTTGCATTCGTAGCGTGCGAGAACGTCTAGAGCTGTTGCTTGGAGTTCCGCACAGGTCAACCAACGGTCAACCTTGTGGGTGCAGTACGCAAAGTGTACCAAGTACTCGGTTGGCCTGTTGTCGTAGCGTCGTTGGGAGATGATGTCGCCAACCTCTTGAAAACCGTCCATCGAGGGTGGGTCATGGGAAGTCGTCATGTTCCGCTGGCGTGTAAAGAGCCAACTTAGCAATGAAAGACCGGGTAGACGGGCAGGTGGGCGGGCACCTGAATGGTGAAAGAAGGTCCTTCGGGTGCATCCCCGGCGGGTGCCACGATCGGCCAAGGCCCCATCCATTTCGGGAGGAGCTTGCAAGAGATATCTTGTTCGAGGATGAATTCCACGGTGGAAACCCACACAAGGTCGCCGGCGCGGAATGGACAGGGAAGAAGCTGACAATTGGCTTGTTGGCTCATGCGTTGCTTCGTCTTTGCCATCTGGTCTTGTGCCTTGACAAGGAGCTCTTGCATCCGACGAATGAAGAGAAGATGGTCGTCGCTCTCGGCCGCCCATGGAATGATTGTGTGCAAGGGAGAAGTGACCGGCGAGCCGTGCTTGAACTCGATCGGCGACATCCCGATAGACGGGTGGATGAACAAGTTGTATGCCAACTCGACATCTAGCAGTCGCTCAACCCAATCCTTGGTTCGAATCCAACCGGCCTAAAGAACCTCGCCAACTCCGGTGCCTTGGCATGATAGCGGCAAGGCAAAAACATGACGAACTTGGTGAGTCGGTCGACCACCGCGAGAATCCCATCCACACCAGTCTTGTGCTTGGGGAAGGGTCCAATAATGTCCATGGCAATCGCTTCCCTTCGATGCAAGGGGACTGGTAATGGTCGCAACTCGCCGTACGGACGATGATTGCGGGATTTGCAACGTCGGCAAACCTCACACGACTCGCAATAGCGTGTGACGTCGTCGAGAAGACCGGGCCACCAAAAGTGCTCGCGGAGTCAGCCAATCGTACGATTGGCTCCGAAGTGTCCGGAGGCGGGAGCGTCGTGGAACTCGCCAAGAAGCCGTGTGCGCAAGTGTAAATCGCGTGGCTCACAAAGAAGATCCTTCCCTCGCGAGTGGACGAGCAAGTACCTCTCTTGGATCCAATAGCGCAATGGCTCCGGATTGGGAGAGGAGCAATTTGCATACTTGTCGCAAAACTTGGGGTCGACTTGGTAGCCGCGGATGAAGCTGTCCCGCAAGTCGTCGTGAATCTCAAAAGTTGAGTGGACTGCGGTACAATGGTCCGGACGCAGTGAAAGAGCATCCGTAAAACGGTTTGACTTGCCCGGAATGTGGTCGGGGAAAAAGATAAACTGATCGATGAAGGCCATCCAACGGGCAATTTTGCTATTGACCGTGTCTTGGGTCTTGTAGAAGACCAATGGATTTATCCGTTACCCATCGGAACTACCGTCGGCCAAGGATAAAATGCCACCAGCGCTTGAGCGCG